TATTTAAAGCTAGATTCAAAGCTGTGATGTTCTCTCAACAAATACAGGGTAGTGTTTTAATACATCTTTAAAGTGAGTAGAAGGTGGAAAATTCTGTTCAAAATATCTTTTTTAGATGGATTAAAAACCTAACCTAAACCTTGCTAATACAGGCTTTCCAATGCTTCCTGTTTTATAAAGTTGTCTTCTGTTGCATACTCTCCAGTAGTATAGTCTAACATTTTCATGCTGGGTATGTGCTCACATGGAATTGTATTTTATTTTTTAAAAATTTCAGGTAAAATTGTGTAGTCATGAGCAAGAAGGTAAGAGGCTAAGAACTGGAAGAGGCTAAGATGGGAAGTACGCTTCTCCTGCTCAGGGCCGTGTCCTAATTCCCCAGTGCATTATGGGCTTCCAGAGAACAAAATGTAGAAATATGATCAAAACCTTTGCATCCCTTTGCCCCTGAAGCTAAGTTTTCAGGCTAATGCCTGTAGCGGGCTGGTGGCTACCAGGGCTGCCGTTCATGAGTCATTCGAGTCAAGTCATGCCGGAAAGTGTCCGTAGCAACACAGCCGAGCTTGAGGAGCTGCATGTGGCATTGCTGTCATGGACCACTGTACATGGATGCACCACTGATGGGAGCTAAGGCAGAAGTGAGAATAAGTGCTTAAAAGGCAGGATATTAGGATTTTTACAATTAGGGTCTACTCTCTCTCCTCCTGGGTGCCCCTCTTGTGCTCCTCCCACATATCCCCACTCCCCCTTCACAGTCTCAGTTTTTTCCTGCCCTCCCTCCCTGAGCAGCTCTCCATGTTGTCCTCTGCTCTCTTCGTGCTCTCTCCCCAGTATAAGCAGGACTTGTCAGGGAACAAATTACAATATGGGACTTCAATTCTGGGTCCAGTTTCAGTCAGCTGCGGAGAAAAACAAAAGCCCACAGTCTGTGATGCCTCACATGGATTTCCCTGCCTGCAAAACACAGCACCCCTTAAGATTTCTGCCCTTTGGGGCCCCACTTTTAGTTCATGAACACTGTCTGCTGCATCTTCTCCCATACTTTGTGTGCTGCTTGTATGGCCCGTGGGATGGCTCAGTCCCATGAGCTGTGCTTGGTAGTCTTGGGCTTTGAGTTCTGCCTGGCTTTAGGCTTCAAACTGGCTGGTGGGGGGAATTCGTTCCCCTCGGGAGGCTGGATTTTCTGTCATCTCCTCCTATTGTCTGCCTTCTGTAGCTCTCCGGCTTCTGGGTGTAACATATTTTCCGTATTTCATAGCGGGTTTGTTTGGGGATCTTGCAGTACTTTCCTGAGCTGCTTTTTTTGTTTCAGTCTGTGGTGGTGGTCCTGTCCTCTTGCAGGGAGTCAGCTGCCAGTTTTGATGTGTTTGATGTGCAGTATCAGAGCAGCGACTTGCTCTCCCACAGTTTTACCTTCAAACACCAAGCGGTTAAAAACAACTTTCGTTTCATGTTCTCTACCGAGAGCAGCACTCCCCAAATTTCACTGCTCCTGTCTCACAATTTGGCACATCCAGCAGGCCTGGCTGTATTTTGGGACTAGTGCCAACCAGCTATGAGCAAGGACAAATTCACTGCACCCCACGCAGACTCTCTGATGGGTACAGGTTTCTAACGTGTGCTCCAGGCTCCCTCTCTGCCACCCTACCGCATCCACGGAGGCCCTGCTCCCTTCAAGACGTCACGCCCCAGCCATGTCCTCACCTTAACTCGTTCCCTTTCAGCCCTCTGAACGGCTCCAGGCTTTTATGTTGGAATAACAGTCTCAATTTTTTTAAGTACATCACTCCGGTTCAACTCTTCATTATCCCACAGTGCATTTAAACCAGCTGCTTTTACGTGCCACACAGCTCTGTCAAAGCAACTACACCAGTAACTGAATGGCCAGGTGAAGGCCAGGTATACCCTTTGGCACCATGGTTGTAGGAGAAGAAGTAGCTACTGGCATCAGGCTGATAATTGGGTGGATGTGGGGGGGTGAACGTCGAAAATTGAATCTCTGAACTCCCGAGCTGCAACCAGCACGGACTGGTTGTAAATTTTGGATAATGCTGGGCTAAACAAAAGCGTCACATCCTGAATCCTCCAGTTAATAAAGAGCCATGAGACAGAGTCAGGAGCTGGGAAGCTGGTCGTGCAGTGCACTTCTGCAGATAGACTGTTAGACTGGGAAACCGAGGGCCTGGGCTCTAGAGAGAAGAGGTGTCCCGAAAGGCAGAGCCTTTGGACAGAAGAAGGGGGCCCTGGAAGGAGGGTGGCACAGATCCTGGAAGCAGGGGCAGATCCTGGAGATCAGAGAGCAGGCATGTGTCCCACCGGCTGGCCGGGTCTGTCTATCCGGCGAGGGCGTCGCTGGAGATCTGGTGTGCCTGCAGCCCTCACGCCTGCGGGCAGAAAGCAGCTACGTCTGCCAGCTGGTCGGGGCCTGTTGTGCCAGCAGGCCCCCCCGGGGATTTGGTGTGCTCGCAAGCCTCCGGCAAATCCCAGTATCCAGGCTGGCAGCGGGCGGGCGCTTCGCTCGCTCCCACCCCTGGCAGTGACCAGCTCTGTCCTGCTCCAACGGCACAAAGCAGCTGCGAGCCCGTTGCAGCTGGTCAGTGGGCCTCAGCTGCTTCACGCTGCCCCAACCCTTACGGACGTGTCACAAGCTCTCCTCTTGTAGTGGTGGTTTTTTTTTTTATTTTCCTACTTTTAGATGTAAATTTTAAATGATAAAAAGAAATTTTTGTACATTGAAGAGATGGTTAGAGCTAAGACTGCGAGTATTTATCAGAAAAAAAGGGTGAGCAATTCACAGCTACCCCCAAACCAAGCATTTGGCAATGTTAAGAAAGTAAGCACTTAACATTAGATGTTAAATCTGAACACAACAAAGCATGAAAACGTAAGCAGTTTCCAAGCAGTTTCAACTCTAGCCTGTAATGTCACCATGAGAAACTAAAAATTATTTTCAGAAGTCACCTTATTTGTCACCAGGAATGACAAATACTAACAGTAATTATGATGCTGCGGACCTTGGATAGTGGCAACAGGCAGAATTAGAGCTGTATGGGCATAGAAATACAGATGGCATTGGCCTGGAGATTCATACAAATGTGCTCAAACGTGACAAGGATGGGTGCACGCAGGCAGCGGCGATCCCTGAGAGCTAAGGCTGAGCGAAGGTATCCATAAGCACATAGCCAGTGTCACACAAATGAGGACTAGCTCTCCACTCATTTGTGTCAATAAATGTGCACAACTGCTGAGCCATGAGCCTTTTATTTGCATATAATATAATCCTAATAAACCCCTCATTAGGCTCGTTAGGCTTAAAATCATGTGGGGGCATGTAAACAAAATAGCACTTCCTTTCCTGGGTCTAAGGTTTACAACCATTACCATTTATAGTAAGAAAAATTATCGTATGTTCATCATGCTGATATTTAGCGGCTTCATGAGTACTTTGAGGTAGGTCCCTAAGATGTGTAGAGACTCATTACTGGGGCAGTTTTTCACTGTCAGTAGGTGCACTTAAAAATCCGTTTGCACTAGAGATGTGCTTTTGTCTAGCAACAATCTGAAGTTCATGGGCCTGAAATATTACTGGGAAAATTAGCATCTTTAAACTTACATAACAAAAGGTGCTCATGGAAAGAGGGAGAGGAAAAGGTACGCTGGCCATCTTCAGTGTTTCTGCAGCATGGAATTAGGTTCTGCTGCAAGATTTGTTACTGACTTGAGGCACTCATACGTCTATTTAATCAATTAATTGTACCTGGAAAGAACATAAAAAACCTGGCAAGTTGGTAGCTTGGGTTTTTTTCCTACTCTGTGTCTTAGAGGAGTGAATCAAGATGAAGCTAGCAGTAGCTCCTAGCAGTCAGACCATGTGCCCCCTGCGTAGAGCTTTCTGGCAAGGAGAGGACCGCGTGCCCACTGCCGCCTCCTCAGAAGATGCAGAGCGGCTCTTCCTGACTCACAGCATCAGGAGGAGCTCAATGGAGAGCTGGACCAGGTGCCTGCCGCCTCCCCCGTTCTGCAGCCACACTCCTTACTTTTCCCAGTCCAGAGGTGGAGCGGAGCTTGCAGAGCAATGTGAAACACACACAGAAACTTTCATTCAAAAATAGAGGGTCAGTTAAAAAGTAGAATATTAATTAAAATAAACAAGGGGGGTGGGGCTTGTTGGAAAGTTTTCCTGTGACATTCACACATGTAAAAATTCAGGACTTTCTCTTGGGGCAACAAAACTATCTAACCAAAAGCAGGTAAGTCATAGCCCTATCTAAGTCTTTGGTTGTCCCACATTTGGGTGGTTAGGAACCAGTTACATGCTAGGCCTTCATTTTTCCCACTTTTGTTTTACAATCCCTAGTGGCAAATCATTTGGAAAATGTTGTGTCTAAAACAACCAAAGTGTTGATTGGATGCAATATAAAATAATTCATATCGCATAATCCTGTTTTAAATACAACATAATAAACCCACTCTTAACTTTCAAAGGTATGAATGAATGTCTTGCTGAAACGATGCAGTTAATCAAGCATATTGATTCTGTACAGCCTCTGAAATAGAAAAATTCCTTTTACTGCTCAAAACAAATGGGAGTCCTTTTCTTTTTGTTTCCCTCTCAGGGATCCTGACACCCCCAAAAAAGTAGAATATTCATCTGTTTTTGTTCACACTTGAGAACAGACACCACAAACTCTTACATTAATGTAGTAAATCTTCCTAGCAATGTGTTATCAATTTTCAGGTGTTAATCGATGAGATTGATATCATAGTAAAACTACAAGAAACACCAATGCATTATTAAAAAGCACGCTGAAGCACCTATTCATGATTTTGTACATTCTGCTTGGAAGCCTGAGACATCAACGAATTCTTCAGCATCCTCATGCAACGTGCTGTTCCCTCCTGGTATTAGTGTATGAGCTAGTGTTTACTCAGGACTCAACGTGACTTAATTTTTGTTTGCTGGATGTCAATTTTGTTTTGCTGTACGTTTCAATTAACAGGTGTGTATGTAATATAGACTGCAGTGGATACAGTTTTAATCCCGTATGTGCTTCTGATGGAAGTTCCTATAACAATCCATGCTTTGTTAGAGAAGCATCGTGTCTGAGGCAAGAGCAGATCGACATCAGGCATCTTGGACACTGCTCAGGTAGGCTTAATTTTGTTTTTCTGGTAAATGTAAATTCTGACATAAGTGGGCTTTGTAGAGCTTTCCCTTTTCCATTTTTGATCAGAAGTCACTGATCCAGTTACCAGTGAACTCCCCGCCTGTATTTTAAAGTTCCCCACGCAGAGGTATGTTTACACTACCTACATACGTGCTGTGTTTACATTACCTTCCTTTGGCTGCTGTTACCTGGAAAGACAGCAAAAGCTCTTAGGAAAATCTAAGCAATAGTCCCAACGGGTCTTACATGAGGGGGTGAAGTAGGAGAGCAAAAGGAATACCGGTGTGTGTGAAACATTCCCTCTTGCTGCTGTGGGCTGTACAATGTACTTCCAAAGTGAGTCAAGTTGGGCCCCAACTACACAAATAATTACCCATTTCCTTTTCCAGTGTTGGAATGGTCCACTGAAACCCCCTGTCTACTGTCTTGTAGTTAATCATGTGCATGACTCTTTGGTTTTGGGGTCTTGCAGTTAGGACCTTCTCATGGGAATAAGAGTTTTCCACCATCTCTTTGCCAGCTCCATCTAGATCTGTAACTTGGACAGTTCCAAAACTGAAACAGACTGTCACCAAAATAACCTAAGCCCATACCACAGAAGAGTTCTAGATCAAAACCTACGCTTGAGGTGTGCCATGTGTTGGTCTGGCCACTGGGGTTACTGACTCTGTTACTGACCAGCTGTGCTACCAGCCTGGTTGTATGGGAGGAACAATGTGGGAATGTGTCCCGGTTTTACTGCAATTAAAATACTTCTTCAAATATTATTCTGGCTTCTCAATGACATACATGTAGTCATCTGGAAATAAGCCTTTCCTAATAGCTACCCATGCGTGTATTTATCATCTAGAAACAGATGACACAAACGCAGTTGGAAAGAAAGACGATGGCATGCAGTATCGGCCAGAAGTGAAAGGTACCGTGCTGACTTTGTGCTGTTTGGTTGCGGTTTCACAAGATGAGAAAATAAGAGCACGCAGGTCCCTTCTCGTCTGCCTTACAGCTTTGATTTCTGTAACCGAGACAGACCTGCAAACAGCTTCTTTCTTATAGCACTGATGTTGTGAGGCTGGCAAGAAGGAGATGTGCATGATTTGTGAGATTTTCCTGCTCTGTTCCTCTAAGATGCCCAGCTGCTCCCCACTCTGTGCAGCAGTCACAGGATTAGACTCCCCCCAAGTGCTGTGAAAATGCCTTTACTGCAAGACACGAAGCTGCGACATTCCTGATGAAATGACACAAGCCAAATGGCAGATTCTGCATTTGTTAGGCTATTTTAAAATGTTTTCAGTAAACTAATATGCTGAATCACATTGGTTGAAAATGTTTTACCTGTATGAACCTTACCTTGGCTATATGAACCTTACTATAAATGAAATAAGGCAATTTCACTTTCTGCTCAGTTGTTGTACATGGTAGTAGCCTGTGTGTGTTAGGTACATTCTCAGAACAAATATACTTCTGCATTTCATGGCTCTTGCTCAAAGTGTTTCTCTCCAGGACAAAACATCTCTGTCTTTCTCAAGTTCTTGGCAAAGAGCAGATCTACATAGGTGTTAATCTTTCCTCCTCTTCTCTCACAAATAACAGCACTGTTATCTCTCTGTTAGCTCTGGTCTTTAGTTGTTTCTGTCATACTCGTTTTGCACTCCCATGACCTCCCAGAGTAAAGCCAT